CCCTGCCGCGGGAGAGGCCGGGCCCCCCGCAGCCCGGGCCCCTCCGCCCCTTGCGCCGGGTCTCTCGCCGCGGCCTGCCTGCGCGGGCCCCGAAAGCAGAGCGTGAGCCGCTCTGAGGGCACCAAACTGACGTTTCCATGCCCCCCTCACTGCAGCAGGAGGCTGCAGGGGTGCGTTGGTGTAAGACTGAGTGTTTCTGTGTCCCCACATCGGGGCAGGGCTGTGTGGCCGGGGAGCGCTGCCGCCAGGGCAGCGGTGCCGTGTCACAAGCTCCACGCTGCACGTTTGTCCTCAAATACCAGTGTGAAGGATCTGCCCCACCGCAGGGGCGTCTCTCCCGTTCTCGGTGCCACAGGGACAGCAAAGTCCTCACCACCAGTTCCCCAGGGCGTGTATGGTACTAACAGCTGCTTGCAGTCAAACCATTCAAAAGCCTGAGTTTTTTGCCTTGTGCCTAAATTATTCAGACCACTGGCAAACTAAAAGAGAAGAAATAACCCTGGGAGAAGTTACTAATTTGTTGCACAGGGACTTTGCGTCTCATCTGTTGTATGACAGCCACTATGATACCACGTTGTTAACTGTGACTGTCACGGTGCTTCTGCCCACAGCATCACCCTCAGCATGAACCAAATGGAAGAATTCGGGATCCCTCAGGAATACGCACACAGGGCTGCCTCGGGCGTCATCCCAAGCTGTTTACAAACAGCAGAGCCAAACATTCAGGTCAGAAGACAGGCACAAAAACATCACTGCACGTGCAAAGCCTCCAGGCACTTCTGGAGAGTTGAGCAGTCACAGTAAACCCCACAGAAATCATTGGGACTTGTCTGTCACTGAGACTTCTTCACCCAGACTTCTCCTTCAGGGCATTGCAGGTCTGAAGAGATCATTAGGACCTACTTTTCCTCATATCTCATACGGTGTCTCCCTCATGGGCTGTGGTATCCCCACTGTAGCTGAGCTGTATTTCTGGATGTGTCTTTGTGTCCCGACTAGTTTTAGCTTGAAGAGTCCTCTGCAATGGTGATGGTGACTAAACCTGAGGAACGAGCATATCGAGCTCCTGCAAGCCTTTGGAGATTCCAGTTACCTAAAGATGCGATGGCAGCATTTCAAATGTAGAGAAAAGGAAAACGGTGCCACATAGTAACACATAGATCCAGACATCAAGGTGGTCTGATATTTTTTTTGTTTAGGACAAGACTTCACTTGTGTTGGTCACAACCACCCCATGCAACGCTACAGGCTGGGGGAGGAGTGGCTGGAGAGCTGCCTGGTGGAAAAGGACCTGGGGGTGCTGGTTGACAGCCGCCTGAACATGAGCCAGCAGTGTGCTCAGGTGGCCAAGGGGGCCAATGGCATCCTGGCTTGTATCAGGAATAGTGTGGCCAGCAGGACCAGGGAGGTGACGGTGCCCCTGTACTCAGCACTGGTGAGGCCGCACCTCGAGTACTGTGTTCAGGTTTGGGCCCCTCACTCCAAGAAGGACATCGAGGTGCTGGAGCGTGTCCAGAGAAGGGCAACGAAGTTGGTGAAGGGTCTGGAGCACAAGTCTTGTGAGGAGCGGCTGAGGGAGCTGGGATTGCGTAGTCTGGAGAAGAGGAGGCTGAGGGGTGACCTTCTTGCTCTCTACAACTACCTCAAAGGAGGTTGTAGCGAGGTGGGGGTCGGTGTCTTCTCCCAAGTACTAAGCAACAGGATGAGAGAAAACAGGCTCAAGTTGTGCCAGGGGAGATTTAGATTGGATATTAGGAAAAATTTCTTCATGGAGAGAGTGGTTAGGCATTGGAACAGACTGCCCAGGGCAGTGGTGCAATCACAGTCCCTGGAAGCGTTCAAAAAACGTGTGGATGTGGTGCTTAGGGACATGGTTTAGAGGTGTACTGGGCAGTTAGGTTAACGGTTGGACTTGGTGATCTCAGAAGTCCTTTCCAACCTTAATGATTCTATGATTCTTTATATAGCATTTATCTGTCACTGTAGTTCTTGACTTAATTGTGTATTGCTCTTGTTTTCTTTCTAGAATTCGTGTCCCCCCACTTTCTGCACAGATACTTGAGATCATTTTTAAGTGTGTATTTTGCTGAAGGTGTGTTAGCTCTGTCTTAGATGTTGATAGGGACAGGATCATCATCGTCTGCTTCTGTTTGTTTAATAAATGTTTACTGAGTTTTGAAGCTGTTTGCTGAAGTTTAAGGAGCATCTGTGTAAGCATTCTGGTGTGGTTTAATTTCAGATGATCAAGTTATTACTGCATTATTGCAACTTGCTGCATCTGCATAGTGCCATGGGTGGTGAAGGAGCAGTGCTTGAATACAAGAGACTGAACCCAGCAAGCTGAAAATGCTGTGGCAAGGAAGAGCTCAGAGAACCAAGTGCAAGAGATAGGCTGTACAACTGTTTGGTTGTGTAATTTGTCTTTGTATGGAACAAAACATGATTTCAAGTACATAAAAATCATACTTCACAGAAAGAAGCTTATGTTTTATAGCCAAGATGCTGCATTCAAAGTCAAACTAGGTAACCAAGGTCAAGCAGCCTGAATTAATTCACAGGCAACCAAACCAGGGTGAGAGTCAAGAATACACTGGAGAGCTACAGAGATGTCCTAACCACTCCGACACTGACCTTTGGAGTTACAATTAGGAGTTGTTTGGGTTTTTCTTAATTAGAAATAAAGCAGATGTAAAGGTAAGAAACTGTTGGCAATTTTATAACATCTCAACCAGCACAATATTCCATGCCCCATGACTAAAAGCATGTTTTCTGGCAGCTGTGGGACAGCTGAAGCCACAACCTTGCTACACAGAAATGTCATTCCACAACAGCCATATCTTTGAAAACAACCAGGAAGCAGAAAGCATCTTTCTTCCCCACTCCTTGTTCTGTTTTCCTGTATTTCTTCACAAAGCCAGATAAGAAGACAAAAATGTTCATCATGCTGCTTATTGTCTGTGACCCATCACTTCAAACACTTTGTTCTGCACCCCCAAAACCCCAAAATGTTTAAAAAGCACAGCTCTGCTGGTACGAAACCCATCCTTCAGGGTGTTTTGTTGAAAAACACCATTGAACTCTATGAAGCCATTGGCCCATACGTTCAATTTCTACTAGCCTGTGCTTTTTTACACCCTCAAGCCCAGCATGTTTCACACCTTCAGGTCTTGCTACAGGCATACTGATTTTTCAAGACAGCCTGTGCTCTCTTTTCATGCAAGGTTGATTTGATTAGCTGCACGTCCACGCTCAGGAGACAGACAGCTACATCTGCAGGAGCTGGCACGGCCCTTCGTGCCTGCCAGGCAGCTGCTGCCCACGGGGCTCAGCAGCACAGCGATGACCACTGTGGGACCTGCGTGCAGGGGAACGGCTGCAGCCTCCCAGCCAGCCGTGGGCCCCACAGGCTGGAGAAAATGCAGATGTCACCCCGGCCAGTGGGACAAGCCCGGGGGCCAGCTGGCAGAAAGCGTGCGACCAGACCCACCAGACCCACCAGTGCAAAACTGGCTCAGCACATGCTTGTACATGAGCCAGACGGTGCTGGTGCAGGCTCGCTCAAGCTGCAGAATAACAGGTTGTACACTAATAACCATGACCTCAAAATCAGGACCAGAGTGAATCCACAACATTGATTTTTACTACCGCTGTTTAAATTACCAGCTAGTCCTTTCTCATCTCCTCAGCCAGTGGCAAGACGAGAGCTGTAGAGCCTGAGGCTAATAAAAGATGGCCAGTGTCCTATTTTCTGGGACCCCAACTGCTTCACTGCTCCCTGAGCACAGGCTGGGTCTCTGGGCAGAACACGGAATATGTCAGAGGTGGGAGACTTCTCAGAGGTGCTCACTCAGCTTTACTATCTGGACCGT